GCTTGCAGTTGCACCATATAAACAGCCCCTGTATATCGGTAGTATATATTTTGTCTGGAAATTGGAGTCATTTGGAGATTTTGTGTGTAAATGAATATAAAAATGACCCTTTACGGGTGGGTTGAGGGCGGTGTTTCTGTCAACGTTTTGGAAAGCAATAATATTTTATTAAAAAATTAGAATAATTACATATTAAACTCTGATTGTAGTATATATTGTACTGTGTGTGATTAAAGTAAGGCAATTTTTTTTACCCCACCTCTGCATGCAAGGATTTTTTGGCCACCCCACCTAAAGCAACTATTATTTTTCAGTTACCCCACCATTTTCTCTTCGGCCCCCACCCCTGCCATATATAATGACCGGTCCCTAAGGTGCGACTTCCATGCTGATGGAGGTCACCGGTGATGCTGTAGGTTGTACGTCGGAGGTTGAAACTGTTGAAGACGAAGCATGTGACTGTTGACTATCCATTGCTGCGTAGAAGTAAAAATGATTCTCGTCGGAGTTACCAATTTAGCGCGAGTATTGATTTTGTTATAGTGTTTGTGAAAATACGTAGAACGCTAATAGATAATTTGATACATTTATTTTTCTTCACAATCGCGGATTCGTAATTTAATATGTATTAGTTCATATTTATATTAGTTCATATCTATTGTTCTCAATAGGATTTTTGTTGGGTAAGAATCTAAAAGCAAGGGGAGGGATTTGATATCTCCACAGGGAAAAGCGGGGTTGATGAATAGAATTGAATGCCTAATTAAAAATGCAAGGTATCTAACTCCATAGTGACCACTTTTAGAGGTCACTATGGAGTTAGATACCTTGAATTTGTAACAAAACTCAAACCCCACATCTCCTTTTCGACTAGAAAACGCTGCACGTCTCCGAGTCGAGAAAGAGACAACAGCCGTGTACCTCAGAGCCGGTCAAATTCTACCTTTGGGTAGGAGTATTTATCATTCGGTGCACGAGAACTAGCTGAACCAAGCACCAAACTTGCTTGTGCAAGCAATTTATACAGTAATATCTGCTCTTTCGCTTGTGGGACGCGAAATGATATACTACGCATGCTCAACCACATTAAAGCGTGTTTAAAGCGCATGTTCAACCTTATTTCGTCCCACAACCATAACCTCCCGAGGACAATAGAAAATGGATATAAACATAAAAACCTCATGCATGGTCGGTCTTTCATTGAAATTCAAGAAAGACTTCCCAATGAAAGACCTCCCATTCGGTTTTTATCCTATACTGGGTGTCCCAAAAAACCCGAAAACTATTGAAATCATTTATTGTTAAATTTGAATGCCCTACCAAACAGCTGGACATAATGATGCGTAAAATATTGACAAGGTGCATGTATTAGAATTTAGTTAGGAATATCTCCTGGTAAAGTGCGCGATTTTCTGCTACTGGGAATTAAAAACAGCTTCTTAATTAAACAGCTTCTTTATGCATAAAATTTACTTATGTCAATCATTTATGCACTCGTGGGAACCAACAGAGCGCTAAGGCATTCAAATTCTAACAATTAAATTGTTATTGGTGATTTCAATAGTTTTCGTTTTTTTGGGACACCCTGTATATAAAGCCCTGTTGAGAACAACTTGAGAATCTCTGCTTCGACAAACCCGTACAAATCATCGTTAGCGCTTCTCTGTTGTATGAGCTATTTCAAACATATTTCATCGTAATCGGTGGTTGGTGAACGAATATTCAATCACTTCTCATTGATAGTATACAGTAATGCGACACGAGAATTGAGAATTGATGCATATCAAATGCGAAAGCCCTGTTTGTTTTTATTACAACCATGGTAATTCAAACTCATTTAAAGAACAATACATATCATAAAGTCAATTTCATTGTGGGTCAATCCGTACAAATATAAACTAAGTTAGTTAGATACCTCAAACGTCGGCTCTTTGTCAGATAAATCCCTCGGGGCCTACGGCCCCTCGGGTTTGTATCTGACTAAGAGCATCCGTTTTCGGTATCTAACTCTTACATAGACAAATTTAGATCGAGGACGCGGATGTCAAAGACGACGTGAAAATGGCGTGTTGTGCCCATGTATGGATATCCAACGCCATTTTGACGTCATTGTCATGTCGTCTTTGACGCCCTCGTCCTCGATCTAAATCTGTCTAATGATGAGTTGAGTACGATTACTCGATAGAGCGCAAAGCTAAGACTAGTACTGACCTACTAAGAATATTTACAAGTTATATTATACGCAAGTTGGTTGAGGCGAGGCGGAGAAGCAATTAAGATTAATGTCAAGATCATTAAGGCGCGTTAATACAATTAGACTAGAAGTGATATCAAGATATAAATATGTACAAGTGTTGGCTGCCAAGAGGAAATTTTATGTTAACAGTATTGTGGCGTAAAGACTAAATCTAGGCGAGCCTACTTCCTAAAAGGTTTAAAATAACGAGTAAAAATAATGTTTGTAGAAGCTCCAAAAGTTATTAATGTCTTTGTGCCAAAACAGCATAATATCCGCTTAGTGATATCGGGTGACTATCACTACACAGTCAACCGGATGTTCTGTTCTCCTGAGTATTGCAACGTTGTAATCAATCTAGATAAGAAGAACAAAACCATTACCATAGCTGGAAAGAGCGTCTTCAAATTAGTAAAATTGCAAAGTTTGGTTGTGAGTTTCATTTTCAACTGGGTTTAAAATCCAGTCTATTATGAGACCAGAGCATGGGGTGGAAGGAACAACTGATATCATAACACGCTATCAAAAATGAAGAGCGAGGCATGAAGCGAGTCTAATCATCACACGAAGCTAACTTTAATGACCTAAACTCATTGTTTCACCTCCCTGGCTCGGCACATGAAACGTTCGACGTGTGAACTAGGTCTTTGTACTTACTTACGTTTACACTGTAATCTCATTTCTATTCCTTTCGCTGCAACGTTGACAAAAATTATCCGCGTCATCACTTATACAGTCAAACAAAGCATAAAGGAATCCTTTCTTTCGACGGCAAAGCGTAAAGTCCATAATTAATATAGTAAATAGTACCAAAGACAGTAGAACGGCGGCGAGGATAACTTTGCCTGAAGCAATGTAAACTAGAATCTCATAATTTGGTTCTAAATAGAAAAATAATAATTCCTGTTAATTCATCAATTCGCTATTGCCTAAATCCTCATACCCTCAATCGACCCGCTTCTCCAATAAGCCACATCTCTAAATAAACCGCCGATCTAATATGCCCCTCTCTAATTGATCCCCTGTCTAATATCCCGCCTCTCTAATAAGGCCCCTCTTCACTAAGCCTCTTCTCTGATAAGCCTCTCTCTAATATGCTCCCTTTCTAATAGGTCCCCTCTCTAATAGCCTGCCTCTCTAGTAAGCCTATCTCTAATATGTTCCCTTTCTCATAAGCCCGCTTTTTAATACACTGTTTCAAAACCGCCTCTCTCTAATGTGCTCTCTCTAATATGCACCTCCCCAATAATTCCCCTCTCCAATGAGCCTCTTCTCTAATAATCTCCTCCCTAATAAGCTTCTCTATTTTTCCCTAATGTCCTCTCTAATAAGCTTCTCTCTCTAATAAATCCATTCTATTACGCCACTTCTCTAACACGCCATCTGGCCAATCGTCTGGGTTGGTAACGGCAAAAATTGTCTTGAAGGGGGTGATCATTGTGTTTGTCGGGAGTTGAGTTATTAAACGAACTATCTTTTCGTTCCCGAAAATCATCGGGATAGATCATTCGTTTCCAGTACAAATCAGACCCTTGATTTTTTACCTTGACCACTTGAGTTTCCAAATGAAGCTTTTGAGGGTGAGCTTTTGAGCATCTGAGGATGATTTTTATCTTCTTGTTGTGTTTTAGTTCCATCATAAGCTTCGCATAAAATATCACTTGTAAACGGGACACTGAATGGACTACCAAATACCATGGATGTTTGCTTATTAGACGTTTTGTTTCTTACTACCACGCAGCCAGGCAAGCACTGTTGGTACTCCATATATATAAATCGTGAGACAGCTGTGGCATGTTTTGGATGGAGTTTATATCTTGGTTGAGCACTGTTGCAAATGTTACACGCGCGTATTAGATTGACTGGATTTTTCGTATAGCTCGCTTTGTAATCAGCTTCTGACACTGCAAGAAAAATTGATACAGATCAAAGCTGCAGTGTAATAATCACCTTTCCTTACAGCTGGGCCTGAATTACGCCAAATGTTACTGAGTTGAAGGCTGACTAGTTCGACTTGGGTTGTCATCATGGAGATAAGCTAAGGTAGAATAGTTGCTTTTTGTGAGAGATGAAAACCTGGAGCAGATATCCCTGAGAAAATTCCTCGATGTACGCCCTTCTCCACTGGGCGAATATGCTCACGCGCAGCTGTACTTTATCCTTTATCAGCATCGCTCATCACGTAAACCGAATCGGTTCGCGCGAACAAATTCGCACAGGGCCGGGGTAGACGGGCTTTACATGTGTTGTCAAACGCATCATGATCAGGTAACAATACCCTAGCCGCTTTGACATTCAGTATAGCAAGTTTAGCTCAGTAATAAGGGGAGCTAGAGCTCCTATGGACTAACCTTCGTTATTAGTTATGTTTTTATACAGTGTACTCTCCCTGTACTTAATTAAGGTCCCACACGTACAAGATGTGTGATTATATACCACATATTTATAAAACTTCTTTTTACTAGAATCCCGATCTTTGTTTGTTATATCCGGAACCACTATCTCAATTTCATCCGTTGTTTTTGGAACTGGGTACCCATGCTGTCCACTATGGCAGTCCCCCATCTCAAGTTTAACACAGCGATAAATTTCGATGAAATATAGAGGTCTGGATGGCGAAGTAACAAAGTCATCATCGTATATTGAAATCACCTCTCTTTGTGGACCTAAAACAAAAGAATCAGGTATTGGTAGGTTAAAGAAACTATATTTCTTTAATTTCTTCTAGATACAAGACTACTACATATAATAAATAGGTTGGTTGACCAGCATCTGTTACACACTAGTGCTGAATGAAACCAAATTAAGCTATACAGATCAGTGTATCTATTCATTAGTTCAGATTGTTTCAAGTACCACACAAAAATACATGTAAAAAGCTAAAGCTTCGAATTCGAATGAATTACCTGTTATTTCCGGACTAGATTCTACAACTGCTAGCATGATGAACCATAGCAAAATGTGCAGCCCAACGTGTTTCAAATTTGAAATCGTGATATCTAATGAACATGGAAGAAAAAATTAATTTTATCCAATCTTCCAATTTATCAAACACAATTAGGTAATGCGATATTATCAAAGCCTGCATTCTGTATTAGTTATTTGATTCGAGGCTTTATTATCAAACATTAATTAGTGACACAGTACAATCACTGAGCAGATATTAAACAACCAGTTTCGTAAAATTATGATATTTTCTGTCCAACTGTTAAATTAATGCTTGTATATGTATTGACACGAAATTCAACTACTTGACTACAGTATATATACTGTACAAACGTTTGGAAAGAAAAATAATCAAGAAAAGACTAGAAATGAGCGGTCGTTCAATAAGCAAACATCACGAGAAATTCAAGTTTGCTTTACTTGACATGTACGAGTATGTAGGCTACTTAGCATTGTTCTTCCTCACTCGGAAGTCTTATTTATATATAAAGGCCTTTAGAACGGAGGGAAATTGGCAGATTAATTAATCTTTCTACAAAATATCCTTAATAAATAACGAAGAAAATTGGAAAGAAATTAATGTTTAATCAATAGCTGTATCGGATACACCTGATTTACATAAGATTTACATTTTCTCGGATAAATTTGATTACTAGTATAATTAATTAATATGCATTCATTTGTATCATCAGATAAACACCCACTCTTCAAGCTTTATATTATTCATTGTCATTTCTTAAACAATAATTATTTCACACCGGCCTGAGGAATTATATTTGCCTTAGCAAAAAGATCGAGGAAGATTTATCATTATTATATACTTATAGAGGTTTATGTACATGCAGTAGATGTGTGAAATAAAATCGTATTTCACGACGGACGAAGTGTATAAATTTTTTGACTGGTCATACGGTTTTTGCCACTAGTGAGAAATTATAATATTGGCATTTTGATTGGCTATACTGTCGTACAGGCATTTTTCACTCGCATTTTATACCATAAACATGGCGCCCACTTTTGGCGTGGCGCGAAAATACATTTGGCATTTTCCGAGCGTAAGCCAGGGCGAAGGTACTAATTACACTCGGGGAAATGAAAACACCAGCAAAGTCTAAAGTTCATCAATGATCACGGGCGTGGGTAACCGTGCGTGTTTCGGTGGGTGGTCATCCTCACTGATCTAAAAAATATGGCGGACTGTCATGAATAGCGAACACTGATTGGTCAAATTTAAAATTTGCATTATAATGACTGCATGACGACAGCCAAATAGCAAACGCTTCTTGATTTGATGATTTCTTGCAAATATATTTCATTTTTGCAAGATTTTGTAAATTTCAAAAGCTTTTTAAGAGAATGAAGGCGAAAGAATTGCTAAAGGGATGAGTAAATGCGCGGACGTTAACGAAGGTAAGGTTGTTTTAAATATTGATGTATTGTTCGCTTTATAATTGCTTTAAAAGCTTATAGTTTCGTACACTAAATGAAAAAAGAGAGCATATAGTTTCAGTGTTTCTTTATTGATTTCCCTTTTTTATTATAATTAAATTTTTTTAAATAAAAAAGAAAGTAAACTTATTTTTTCGGATTGCGAGAATTTGAAATAATTTTATTTCAAACTCAAAGCTTTCCGATAAAGCATTAAAGGCAGTTTAGTTTTATAAAGAACATTTCATAGCGTCTTGCGAAGCGTTTGAGGTTGAATTTTACCTTAAATTGAAGCTAACATTACGTATAATAACATATCTAACATATATATGTTTGGGGAACTGATAATTTTCGGTAATTATATTAAAAGTGATATTTTTAGGGGATTTTTCATTTGTAAAAATATTCTTAACAAACTAATGATTATCGTGTTATCATGACAAGTACTTTAAATACTTCATGTTCGGAAAATACAATGATACTGTCAGCAAGGCGAAGAGTTTCTGCATGCATGTATTTTCTAGTACATTTTAATAAAAAAACCCGACAATTTTGTAACAAAAGTAAATTAATTTTAACAGGTAATTGCAAATGAAATGAGAAGAGCAAGCTAAATAATTTAATGATGAAATAAACTGTAAAAAACCGTAAGTTTTAAGTGTTGTGCGCTATGAGCCTTTATGAGCTTTAAATATTCATCTAGACTCTAGACGGATATAATGAACAAATTACTGCATGGTTAGTTCGCTTGTACGATTTTCATTATGCACTTGTTGTGAAAGATTGCTAAACTCACTCCTTCGCTTCGCTCACTCGTTTCAGTTTTCACAACTTGTGCGCAAAAATCGCACACGATCACCAACAATGTGATCTCCATATTGAGACAAGCAACATATAAGACAGTCAAGCATACTTTGTTGTTGCACACAAAATGGAGTAATGATCTAGAAATTCGTGGTCGATAAATAAGCAAACATCACGAGAAATTCAAGTTTACTTTGACATTTACGAGTATGTACTTAGCCTGCACTCGGAAGCTTTTTTATATGAAGGCGGGTGACTCCGTAGGCCTTTGGAAACGGAGAAAAATTGACAGATTAAGGAATCTTTCTGCAAAATATCCTTAATCAATCATGAAGAAATTTGGAAAGAAATTAATGTTTAATCAATAGCTGTATCTGATACACCTGGTTTACATAAACTTTCGATTTTCTCGGCTAAAACGATCCATATTTCCGAATTATAATTGGTATATTTGCTTACTATCATATGCATTCATTTGTATCATCAGATAAACACCCACTCTTTATGCGTTTTATTATTCATTGGCATTGCATAAACAATTCACATTTCACACCGGCCTGAAGGACACTTGCATGCCTTAGCAAGGAGATCGAGGAAGATTTTTCATTATTATACACGTATAGAGGTTTACGTACAGTAAACAGGTGAAATAAAATTGTATTTCACGACGGAGGAAGCGTACTAGGCCTATAATCGTTTTGATTTTTCATACGTTGGCTTTTGCCACCATTGAGAAATGATGATGTCGACATTTTGATTGGCTATCGGGTTAAGCCAATTCTCATTTGCTTAGTTAAACAATTCTCATTTTCACATAGACCTAAGGAACACTTGAACATCGAAGAATATTGATCATCATATCATTATATCATGTACGTCCTTATCTGTCATTTGAGACAGGCAACATAAATACAGTCAGGCATACTTTAATTTGTTGTTGCAAACAAAATGGCGTACTAAGCAGACTTAACAAATCCCATTGGCTTGTGGCGGTTGTGCATGTCTATACGTACTCATGTCTGTTACCCAAAATAGGCATTCTCAATTGATTCATTGATTCTTTGCCGGCTTTGGTATGCCAATCTATTGCAATATTAAAATTTAGTAAAAAACCTTATTTTAGTCACAGTTAAATAATAGCCAACCTAAGTTTTATGCATGCAGAAATTTGAAAAATAGGAGAAAAAATCTGCTACTTAAACTTTTGAAGACAGAATGCATTTCAAAATAATTTTAATTTCTTCTTAAAAACGAACTTATCCTAATACAACAAGATTAGGAAAATGATAGCAATACCACTGTTATAGTGAATCATAAATATATGTTCGAGTGAAGAAATGAACAAATGGTCAACCTTACTTAATGAATGAAATTAGAGTAAAGATACATGAAAAAGATTTTAAAAATCAGTCGAATTTGCACCTACCTGCCATACTGGAATGTCTTGAAAATCTCGAAATGAACGCTAAACATTCCCTGTCGTATAAGACCTTTTGGTGGTTATATATGTTGTGTAAACTGGTGTTTGAAACTATATAAGGACTTATTTTTGCGTATCACGTGATCTAAACCACACCGTGTGGTGACGTGTATGAAATACGGTTTGGAAGGCGGGCAAACATGAAAGCTTTGCAAGCTAATTAATTACATTAAATATATTGGAAAGGTGCGTCAAGTGACAATACGGGTGCACCGAATTCAGATATTACTAGAGCGTATAGTATTACACAATACAGATCAAAGGCCGTTGGGGCCGACTCATGGATAAGATCAAAGAAAGTGACAGAAAGAATTAGAGCAGTTTGCAGTTGTTTTTGCAAACCGGGCAACGTGCGAATTTTGCCATTTCACTCATGCATTTGTCGGTGCGTGCCCCCAACCCGAAATCCTGGATTTTGGAAGGTGTTCTGTAGAGTTCTGAAGATTACAAAACATCCTATAAAATAAGACAACCTGACAAAGCCCGACTTGTTTCGAATCATTGAATCTTTTGTTTTAGTTTTTATGTTATGAAGTAGAGTACATGAAAAGAAGAATTTTTTGTTTGTTTATTGCTTCAGTTTTGTTTATATGAATTTTGTTGAGACAAAAGTTAGCAGCAACAGATAGGCAATTAGGCAGTAATTTTGGCCGGTTACAGTCCCTTAATGACAGCCCTGAGGAAAGCAGGGTGAGATTTCAGTTACTATATTTGCAAGGAGGCTTAAAGGATGTTTCCATTACAGTAGCTTTGCCAATTCAAGTGGAACGAACAGTTTGAAAATGTAACGCACCTACACAGCATGAACAAAGTGTAACTTTCTTTAGCACGACAGCAACAGCACATTTTCAAAACTGTTTCTTTAAATTAATAGAAAACCAATATAGTGTTACGTTTGGTATGAAGCTCAATCTTGTACAAGTTGAGTGAAGGTTTCTGGGGAATTGATTGTTAAAACCCACTAAAATTCTCGCTAGATTACTTCTTCTGTTTTGTACGTTTTGGCAAGGGCTCTTCTGATCCACCATACCATTTGCTCCTCTGATCAGTGTGATGACCAGCAAACTTCACCTGGCTCCAATTTTCAATGTAGAGAGTATGTCTGGGGTAAATTAAGTGTAGCACTAGCCCGCATACAGGCCCACAGAAGGAAGAATAGTGGACCAAGGAGGAAGATTTCACGCCCCATTCGCGCGTGAATTGTCAAGAAAGACTAACTAACGATGGCAACCCAAATAGTAAACAAAATGTTGCGGGGTTTTGTCTGCGTATTCAGAATGGAAACAATGTTACAAATGGCTGCGTTTTTAAAACTCCGAAAAAGCAAGCAAACCAGTCAGCTC